TGTATCAAAGATGTCAAACAAATATGATAAGATTGATAACTAAGTTGAGCACGAAGCTCCTATCTAATGGCAGACGTGCCAGTCTTATATAGAACCTTCATCCTCATGATCGCTGCTGGTCGCCGCGACCAAACGACCATTACTGGTCACGTGATATAATTGCTATGAAATCCCTGGATCGCTTAGCTAACCTAAGCATCCCTATCTGCTATAAGTATTCTGGCAGTGCTTGACCTGTCAGGACGCCGCCTGGTCTTCGCTAACCACGTGCTAACACGTGATTCGTGACAGCTAGCTATTTATATTACTAGGTTCCGATTATTAGTTGAGTTCTATTTCCTCTCCCTCCTTATAGAGGGTCTATAGAGATACGCCCTTCTTTTTCTTTTATATACCTATAAAAGCTAGCTTTAGACTAGATAACCCCTTCTCGTTTCCTATAACCTTACCTAATCTAGTTACTATATATATATTAACTATCTCTATTAGGCAACTCTCTACTTAGTCTAACGTGGTTTATCAGCGAGTCGATCATATCACCGAGTCGATCACTTTTTCTTGGCACAGAACTTTACACCTAAATAAATCAACCACAATATATTAAATTAATTATCGCTCTCTATATCTGACGAACTAGATATATCTATAACTTCTTGACAAGTTCGCGCGTTATGACCAGCTTTTCCACAAGTTCTACAGCGCCGCCTAGAAGGTTGCCCCTCCTTATAACCAACCCCCGCCTCACGCATGTCGCGTCGTACTTGCTCATCTACATCCTCCTGAGCTAACATATCCTGTACATCCTCTACTATAAGTGCCCCTCCTTGGCGGACACGAGTCTTTTTAGCCCTACGGCGTTTACTTAGGGCTTCATTTGCAGCGCGAAGGGTACGGACCTCAGCAGACAAAAGGGTCATCTCATGTGCCATTCGCTCTGTACCCTTTGCTAACGCAGCAACTGTTTGAAAAAGTGGAGTTGGCGAGCTTCCTTGATGACAGGCTATACGATTTCGTACAAGAGTTGATTGTGAAAGGGCTTCAGTTGGGTTGGAAGGGGTCTGGGACACCCAGGGGAGGGAGTTGGCACTACACGTCCGAGGGGGAGTTGGAGTCCGTAACCTTACGTCAAGCTTTGAAAGCACTGCTTGCGGGTTAAATGGTACTAGGCCAGCTCCGCGGAATCCAGACTGACAGTTTAGGACTGTCATTGTTTCCTTGTATGCTGCTGTAAAGGCTAGAAAGAACTCAACCTTTGTAATATGGTTGATATGGGCCTTGATAAACGTCTCAATCTGCCGACCATACGCTCGTTTTAACACACTATAGCACCCAACATCAAGTGGCTGGGTTAGATGGGATGAATGAGGAGGTAGTCCAAGAGTAATAATGTTGTGTTTCGTACAGTAGTCTTGGAACTCAGCCGATTCATGACTCTCGTGCCCATCCAAAACTAGTATTCGATACAGACCCTTTGCACGAGCTGTAGTGTGTTTATCAAAGTGCTTTAACCATTCCAGGCCTGTTTCATTATTTGTCCAACCATTGCTTGTCGGTTTCATAACCCAGTTAGGTGGGAGGCCGCCGTCGGTATACCAGTTGGAGAGATGGTTCTTGCCCTGAACTACCAAGAATGGAGGAATACTCCAGCCCTCCCCATTAATACAGGCAATTGCTGTAGCCCATTCCCGATTGCCTGGCTGAACTGCCTTGCCTCTACCACGTCGGTCTGCACGAGTAACAACCATTCTAGGACAAATAACACCCATCATAAAGCCTGTCTCGTCGAAGTTGTAGAAGTCGGAGTCTGTAACCCCATATTTCGCCCTCATATTCTCTACTAGCCGGAACCATGCGCCTAGCACGTCAGGATCTTCGCATAAGGCCCTCTGGAAGTCGTAAACGCGATTAAAACGCGTCTTAAGGTCTGGTTGTCGTTGTACGAATCGATGGGCCCAGAGCTTGCCGACGCGTCTTCCCCCCCGCGATTCAAGGATAAAATTAGCCATATCTTCTACACCAGCGAGCCGGGGCGCAAATCCTCTGGAATCCATATCCAGTATATACCGAATAATCACTTCCTCTTCTAACTCAGTCAACTTATGACAATTGGCTTGAGAATCTGGGCGGTAGGTTCGGCCAGCCATTCTGTCGGAAAGAGTCGTATATGGTACATTGTAGATCTTTGCCGCGGAGCGTTTGCTTAGTTTTTTGGACGACCGAATAGCCTCGATAGCTAGAGTAATTCGCGCTTCTTGAGTTTGAATTTCCATGGTAAATAGTTGAAGAAAACTTGTGTTGAAGTTTGAGGAGGTAGTGCCAAGGAAAAGTGATCGACTCGGTGATATGATCGACTCGCTGATAAACCACGTTAATTTATTCTAGATAATATCTATACTATATAATCTCTAGTATCAACTAATATAGTATAGTCTCCTTAGGTCTACGGATTAAGGACTAGATTAGTTAGTTTATTATTCTTAGTTAGGTTTAATAGTCCTATACTAATTAGTAGCTAATTATACTAGGGTTTTTATAAGCCGTTATCTTAAGTTAGGTATTAGGTTTATCTATAGTATTAAGCTTAGTAAGCCTCTAGAGTTTACTACTACTTAGAGGGGTTATTACTATCCTAGGTTTCCTAATAGTCTTAGATTATTTCTTTAGTATTCCTTAGCTCTTTTATATTATTTATCTTAGAGTAGATAATTCTCTAACTTATAGCTTTATTATAATTTCTACCAATATATCTATCCTTACTATATCTATAGTAGTTTAGGATAGGTCTAGTTATAAACTATTAGGTTAATAGTTAACTTAGGTTAAATAAGATAATATAGATAATAGATCTAATAATAATTTACATTAATAAGCGAGGAATTAAGGATTCTAACTAGACAAGAGATATAGAATAGGATAGATTTAGTTTAGCTAATTAGTTATTTTAGTACTAAGTATTTAATTCTCTTTTTAAGAGTAAATCTAGTGTTGCTATACAAATATCGAGTGAATACACGGTATAAGTTATAGTATATGTAAGTTAGCCTTAGGGCTAGCAGGGGTGTTAGCGCCTTAGCACTGCTATATAATAGCGAGCACCTATAACCTTTACTCGGTATGCACATCTGATAGTCGAATACGATACTATTCTATTTACATCAACACTTTGTCTGGACTCTCTATTAGAGTCAAACCAACACGAGCTTATAGAGCTTGCAAATGGTGCTAACGCGAAGTCACTGGCTGGCACCCCGGATGGGAAAACACTCGCAACCGGAGATGCTGGTGGTGTTATTCAAATTTATGATTTTGAAACACTCAGGCTAATGTGCGGAATCGTTGCTTCAGATCAATTTATTCGCAGTATGTCATTCACTACTGACAGCACGCGACTTCTGGATGTGCGAGGACCACATGCCAGTATTTAAGAGCCGTCAATTCTGGCAAGAGCTTCCGCAACAGAATCTGGAAGTGTCTCGGAAACTTTCCCGCTCGATGCCGAAACGGTTGGAGATAGAGAGCTTTATTCGACAGGTAATATCACTGCAATCATTTGTCATCCGAATCAAAATTTCGTATTTTGTGGCATCGATGACGGTACCATCGCTCTATTCGACTCTGTTTCCGGTGAAAGAATCAAAACATTATGTACTCATAAGATTGGAGTTTCAATAACAAACATAGCTTTTGGAAGAAAATCAGGTATACTTGCTAGCGCAGATAGTTCTGCAAGAATACTTGTTCGCAGGGTTTCCATGTTAGGTACGCGCTTGGAATGCGACAAAGCTTTTTTCGACCACCGTTTTTCCGGTACAATTGATCAACTTCTGTTGAACACTTCAAACGACCGCCTTTTAGTCTCAGTCATTGGGCATTCAACTTTATGGGAGATTGTTGATGACAGGGCAAATTTACTAGTCTCCAAACCTGATACCAGCGTAATATGGTCAAACGACTCTCGCAATCCCAATCATTTATTGGTTGTCTCGCGTGACGCACCTTGTACTTTTAGCACATTCAACTGGGCAGAACTTTCTCGCGTGTCATCCTTTGGCATTGTGGAGCTTAGGCAGAATGAAGTTCCTCAATATACATTTACAGATGTCAAGGACAAGCTTCTAGTCGAGTCATCTTCTACCAAAACAAGAAGAAGGATAGCTATTTTTGATAGCTCTCAGACAAAGCCTGAAGCTACCGGGCCTCCACCTTACTTGCCAGAACTTTTCTCAACAGAAATTCGTAGTCTAGTGGGAATATTAGGCACAAGACTTCTTTTACTCGATAATGCTGCCTGGCTATGCAGCATTGAGTTGTCTCCAAATGCGACGCATAAACGTACTGGACGAGGAGTGCCGAAGGATGGAACATCGGACGAGAAACAGGCCCTGAGACATTTTTTCGTCCCGGATGACTGGCTGAGCACAAATTGGCAGATTATCTTTCAGGTCCTCCCGAACGGGGATCTTGTGTTTGTTATTGGACATGAGATAGCGATTATTTCCAAAGCTCTATAGCGTTGTGTGCTGAAGGTTAAGGTTATTACTATTATCCTGTGATAAAACTAGTGAATATATAAAGCAACTGTAATTTGAGGTTTTCTGACCTCATAACACTCATGTCTTTTCAAATTGCTTGGTTGTCTATCGTACAGTAACCCTTTTCCAGACACAATCTTTACTACACCGTCTTTCCGATGAATTCTGTTCCATGCATCGTGAACCCCGCTCCCGAGAATGAATCCCAACGACCTTCCAACTCAAAAAAGAAAAGCGCCGCTTACGGCCTTTTGTGGGTCTCGTAGTCATCTTATCAGATGATCTTAGCCGGAGCTGCTTCCTCATGCTTCTCACGCTTCTCATGACGAGAATTTAAATAAACTTTACATCGCTCCTCAAAATGGCCCCCCAGGAATCCAATAAAGAAAAGACTTTACCCGTATCCAAGAGTGCGTCAAATTCCGTTCAGGAGCCTTCTATTGCCGAGTCATCCACAGAAGAATATTCCGTTTTTACAAAATCTCAAAAACGATGGATAACATTCACAATTGCTTTCGTGGCTTGGTTCTCCACGCTCAGCAGCTTCGTCTACTTCCCGGCTGTCAGCCTTATCGCCTCCGATCTACATACCACCATTGAAGGTGTTAACATCACCATCACATCATATCTTATTGCTTCAGCAATAATACCTTCTGTGATAGGTCCGGTGGCAGACATGACAGGAAGAAGACCAGTTTATATTGTGACTTTATTTATCTATTTCATGGCAAACATCGGGATTGCTTTACAGAAGTCACTTGCAAGCCTGATCATACTTCGCATGGTCCAAAGTGCTGGGATATCCGGCTCTTTTGCTGTCAATTACGGCAAACGTAAATGACCCCTTTGTGGGAGCACGATTCCGGGTATCTTACTTGTTCCGGTATATCACTGATGCACTCCCGAGTCTATACCCTACTTACTCCTCTAACGCTAAACCTGAATTTGGGGATCAACACTTTATCGACTCTCTTAGGAGCTTGATTGCTCTGAATTCTAAGTACAGTACTTCTACAGGTCCGAGTACTTAGTACTGACTTTCATTAGCGTTTTAGGCTAACTAAGCGTAAGATTTACGGTCTACATATCCCACGTCCTCCCTTCTTTTCTTGTATAGTCGAAAAGTAGGTTTAGTATAGTTCACTTTGCCTGTCCTTTACTGTACTGTACAACAAAACAATCTGTACACCGGCTTTTAACGGACACTATTGCCCACCAATAATAAAATCAGTCAAGTTTACTTCAGTAGCCCATGTTAGATTCGACGTCAAATTCTTCTACGAATCTATCCTTATCCAACTGCCATTCAAATACAAAACCATCAATTGCAACCCCAGGAACCACATAATTCCCAGGCGGTTAGCGAGGCGAGTCCCATCAGCAAGCCTTTTTTTGGTGTTTCCTCAAAATCACGTTTTGGACACAGGTTATTGATACCTAGGTGCCTGGTACGGCTGCTGTACAGTATAACTCCAAGTAACCATGCCATCCCATCGCATCTTCCTAATTGGTAATATCTTCACAACAAAATCAGCAAACTCACTTATTTATACTTAAAAGTTCACCTCGCTTTATACCTGGGTAAGAGAGTAACATACTTGGACAGGAATTCAAGCAACACTTGTTAGTCCAATACCCATCCTGAAGTGGCTTCCCGGTTCTACCGCTATTATAACATAGTTGACCGCCGCCCGCGCAAGGATATTCGTTCACGCCATCGCACTTGTACGAGTTGGGGAAGACAGATAGGCCTTCGTTATTAGAGAAGGCTACACAATCCTGATCGTGTTTGAGGCATGCAGCGTTTACGCTAATGAAGGTTGTTGCGAGGAATAGGATGGCTGCCGCTCGCATAGTTAGTATTTGCAAGGGTTGGGGTTAAGGTTGCTGAGAGGAGTTGAGTGATGGAGGTAGGTAAGTAAGAGTGTGAAAGCAGAATTCAGATGATATAGTTGGAATGAATAACTTTAAGAAGGGAAAAGTGTATGGATATATATATATATATATATATATTGTTGAGCAGTGTCAAGTTAGGGAGGCCATGTCAATCCTCGGTAGCCTACTTAATGAAAGAACAGCGATCTACTAAACTTTTCTTGTGCTAAAATGTATCAAAATGTTTAAACTATATTAACTTCGTCTCAAGTTCTCCCACATGTCCGGGTCCCGCCAGCGAATGCGGATGAATCCGAAGAATCCAAGAAGCCAAGAATTCATATTAGTATTTTATACTTCTCGTATTAAGTTCTAAACCCTTTTAGCTTGTATATTGAAGATAAAGTACTTACTAATCCGGAAATCTCCAGGACCGTTCGGGGGATTTTGAACTAAAGTAGATCAAGGAAGTGCATGACTTTTTCCATGTAAAGATTTGGCATACGAAGATTTCAAGTGCTAAATCATTGTCAAAGAATCCCCCGAAATTTTGAGGATACAAACAACTTTGTTAAAACAATAACACATATAAAACTCCATTTAAGCCAAACAGGATTCGAATCGAGTATATTATCAAGTACTCGAGATATACACTCGAAAAAGCGACTTGACTTTTCGGAAGTTTTGTCTTTTCTAAAGTACGCTACTACGGCATCCCGAAGCTACTACTAAACCAGATAACTAAATCGTAAATGCTACCAAATTGGATACGAGTATACATTCTGAGCCAAAAGGGCCCTAAAGTGTTAATTGTGCTCCACCGAGTTATCTAGCCCCGAAGGACACACGCCGCTGGTTTATTTAAATCTACATACAGTGCCTCTAGTTTGAGTCTAACTATCCCACTACTCCCATCGACAATAACACCACAAGGATTCCCGCTCGGCTCTTCCTCCTGAATACACAACAAGCTTCCCTACGAGTCGTAGTTGAATTCTCTTTGATATTTATCGTCCTTCCAAGCTCCGGGCAGCGAGATGTCAAGAAGCTTGGAGTGTGACCGATACAGTGAATCTAATTTCCTCTCGTCTCGTCGAAAATTTAATCATCGTACCTCGTGAGACTCTTATGCTAAAAGTGCGATACCGTGGTAAATCGTCCTTAAGGCATATGGGTGGCGAAGACAGTATGTGGTACTCAGGGTTTGCGCGAATGCTCCGAATGGCTAGAAGTCTACGGCGAATGCCTTGAATATACCGGTAGTAGAAAAGTCATCTCAGCACCAGAACCTCTTTTAAAGGCTTTTGGTGGCAGGCTTTCACTCCTCCCACGTGATCCACCCGCTTCCACCCTAACTCACCACCCCCTGCCTTTATTTAAGGGTCTGAGGGAAAATGGTGGTTGTTTAGGCCAGAGCCTCCAAGTCAACTTACTAACAAAGAATTTAAAGCCCTAATACGCCACCACTATAAGAGCTATACACTTCTAGTCTCCCAGGTAAGGTAGGTTCGATATTAAAATTTTATATAGTCCGATTTTCAAGGGGGTACACCCCCGACAATGTACCTAACTATTACGTTAAAGCCAAAAGTGGCCATTTTTACTTTCTCTCGATGAAAACCGGCCTCCAGCTCTTCTAGTCCTATTTCGTAACCATAACACTTATAATAAAACCCATCGGTACAAAGCTAGAAAACAGGTTTCTTTACAAGCTAACGAAAGAATTATATTAATATCTTAAAAGGTGGGCAAGTTGTTGTCGAAAAGCAAAATGTCATTTTGAGCCCTTCTAAATTACGCGATGACACATATCGAAAACAGATACATTAGAGTCAGTCTTTATGCTGGATGGCTGTTTTGGGGTGGCGGGGTGTGATTGACTGGAGGTGCTCGGGGTAGGGCGGAGTCGGGTCGGGGCCGGTGAGTCGGGGGTAAAAATGGCTATGTGATCAGCGGCTGAGCTGAGATAAAAGAATATCGTTTATAGATAAAAGGCTAGGGAGTTTATTAAGTCTTTGCTGAATATGAGTAGTAATAAATAGATTAAGACGATTGTTAGGCTGAGGGGACCGGATATACTTAGGTGTGTTTGTACTATTAAGTATATTTATATAGAACGAAGCGCAGCGGGGAAGGAGGGATATGTGGTGGGGAAGGATTATGCTATATGAAAGGAAACTAAGCAGGACGATTCAGACTCATCGAGGGATCCTTCGAACGTGCCGGAAAGTATTTATTACAGAGTTCTCGAGCAGAAGATACTTGAGATGTGCGGAGATAAAGTACAATGGCAGATGGAAAACCGGAATGACCATATAGAATAGGTAGTTTTAAGTGAGATAGTAACATGTAAATCGGGTGACCATTGCAATAGGTATCAGTTTAATCCATATACTTAGCGACCTTTCAATCCCAGGTCAAAATAATTCCTTCTACTAATACTAGGTTGCATGTACCTTCTATTTCAGGGAGAAATACGCTTTAATCTTATCTTAAAATACAGATTTTCTCTTACTAATTCCAGATCGAATAAATGTTACATAACCTTTTTTCTCTGCTAGCCGAGTACCTGTGTAATCTTACATTTAATAACAAAACTGGGAAAAGTATAGAGAAAATGCTCGAATACTTAAACCAATACGAGATAAAGAGAGGATAAGGCACTTAGATAATTTGGAACACTAAGGACAAACAGCGTGAACTAGACGTATTGTAAATACGTAAAGAACTGAAAGCGTTATATCAGCAAAGAAGTAAGGAAAAGAAAGCGCGAGCAGCAAAAGCACAAGGAATAGAAGCGGAACGAATAACAGAAAGCAACCCGAGCTTCTCAATAACAGCGAGGTCTACGGAGGCAAAATAGGCCAACTCGGTATAAGCTCAACATCTGTGCAATTCGTCAAGCGAGTACAGAAAGAATCAGTATAGTCAGTGGTCGAACTGGCGCATGACATCATACGGGGCTTTACCGACTGTTGCCTCGCAAGACATACGATTCTTCGGAAGCCTATACCCACTTCAAAGCACACTTGGACTAAGACTAAAGTTCTTCTTTCCAAACCTCCCCCTTTCCATACTTCCTCGTTTCTAACCACCTGAAGCACGAACGCCCCCCTTTACATTGAGCGAGTACCGGAAAAACCATCACGAGTATAATCACAAGTATACTAAGAGCGATATTCAGTCAGGAAAGGCTTCGATTTCATCCTTTTAACCCCGAGGAACGATGATACGTGTACTTATAAGGAGATGGAAGGGACGGAAGAACGTGTTGAAACAGACTCGATTCGCACTTGTTTTAAGCAAGTACGAAGCTTGGAATGAAGAACTGACTTTTGTTTTGTTTTGGAATGCAGTCATTGAACTGACATGGATTGTGTTGGAATGCTTGGATACGGAATATGGAATTGGTTTGCCCACCCATTTTGGGATGATCTTGCGATTGGACTTTGCATTTAGAAATTTGATTGTACTTATTAAGAGCCGCCGATTCGGAGTTAGATTCGACAGCATACTTATTTGGTTTTGGATCTAAGTTATTAGTAACCCCAGAGCATCGTCCTTCGATTTTGTAGCGACGATTGTTATTACAGGACCGCCCACGAGCGCCCATGGGCACCCTCCGCTTCTCTATCTAGCACTAGCATATTCCATAGAAGGCGCTAGTCCTATTCCAGAAAGTTCCATCCGATAGACGACTACTATATGATCGCACTGCTCGTCCCCTAGCTAGCTCTTCCCTTAGTATCTCATTTCATTTACAGCTTATTCTAACAATTGTCTTATTTTTTCCTTGACAAGTTCTCTTGAAAGAGTGTCTATAAAGGTAGTGTAATCCTAGTATTAAAAGCAAGGGTTATTAAAGTAGCAAAGCCACGAGCCGAGTTTCTTAGATTAGCATAGATGGGATGGTACTGTATGTCGGTTTCTAGCAGTCTACTTGTCTTGTATGGAAGTCTGAATAAG